AAATCCATGATTAAAAATTTCAGTTAAATTTAATCTCTGGTTAAGTTCAAAGTTGGTGTTAAATGATAGTTTATCAAAATCTAAGATAGGAATGTGAAATCGGTTTTCCTCTAAAATTAACCAATTAGGTTTTACAGCCTGTCAAAGTTGCAAAAAGTCAATTTTCAACTGTCAATATTTCCAAAACAGTTGAACTTAGGTATAGGGTATATCACATGAAATCTGCTCAGAATTTTACGTAGAATCCAAATATGCAATTAAATCCGGGGTGTTCCATTTAAAATAGTGATGTTGCCACTAGTTTAGAGTAGAAGCGGCAACACCGCATGGTCAAAAATATTTTTAAAGTGTAGATCATGGTCGTTTATCCCCGTTGCCAAATTTTCAAAATGATTCGCTTTTTAGTTCTCCCTAAAAGTCTAATACGCCATCCACCGTGGGACACCCTGTAGGGTACGTGTATAGTACCTATATCAATACCTATATCCTATGCAAATTTATGACTTGATTCCAATAACTAGGTAATGACTATGTAATTACTGTTTATTTCAAATAAAATGCCCTACATGCCCTGGGCTGCGTTCAGATTGAACGTCGGTTGTCGTCCGAGCGCACTCTGACCGTTCAGATTGCTTTGGGTAAACTTTACCCAGCCGTTCAGATTGTCAGTAGATTTTTACCTGACGACACCCCGACGCACACTTTTGCATCCCATAAAATAGTAAGATAAAATTTGCCCCGCATGCGCGTTTGTGTTATGTTTATCTTCTAACCAATAATAAAGGCAAATATTGTAAATATTATTGTTGGAAATTGTGGCGAATTTATCCAACAAATAAAATAAAATAGGAAATAAATTAAAATGAGAATTAAGGGTTAAGAGGTATTATTTTATGTGATAGTTCTACCAAAAAAATCAAAATAAAATAAAATAAGAGTTGATTATCTTTGAATTTTCTTTTTTCTTATTTTACAAAAATGTAAGAATCACGAACACAGTGAATTTTGAAAAGGCAATAAAATCAAAATCAAAGCATCCCATAAATAGTGATGTTATGAGGAGAGAATGCGTCTTGGCCGTTCAGATTGGGCGAATCGCCAGGCACACTCGGAGTGCACTCTCTATCGGATACGCTCTGCACTGGACGTCGCCCAGACTCTTCAATCTGAACGCGCCCCTGGATGTTTTGTTTGTTTGATTATAAAACTTGAATGAGGTTTATAGTGGGGATAGAATGGACAGTCCCGTTATACGGGTCAGAAAATCATTTTTGGCGCCATCTGTTGTCTATGAAATGAGCTCATCCCATTGTAGCAGCTTGTAAAGCAGTTTGCTTCTTATTTTTTTTAGATTTGCTTTTTATTTATTTTATAATAAAGACACAATTTGATACAAATTTAACAAATAACAGTTTATTACAAAGAAAGAAGTAATTATGTTGGCTTTTCGAAACTTGTCAACAAAGTCAACACTTAATAACACAGAATTAAATAACAATAATAGTCTTTACAATAAACATAACACTGTGAAAGTTCACAAATACACACAGATAACGCTCTATCACTACAAAACACTTTTTCAACGAACAGAAATATTAATGGTGCGTACGATAAGTCCGAACTACTGACACTTTTAACCCTGACCCGTCATTAATGTCGCACTTTTTACACCATTCGTACCGTGCAGCGTACATTTTCCGGTGTAGTTCAGATGGTTGCGTTACAAAACATAACTGCACCGCACTAACGCTAACCGGTTCAGACAAATCGTACGCACCATAAAGCAACAATGAAGCACAACGTTTTCCAGTTCATCGTTTTGTCATCATTTGTCATTTCAAACGCAGATATGACGGGTCTCGCCAACCCCACATACCGCCAACCCAAAATGGGTTTTTATTAAAATCTATAGGAAATTTGCGAAGTTATCGGTGAGCTTCTTTCAGCTGGCCCTTATTACAAAATCACAATTAACTAATTTGAGTGCAAAATCCTTTGGTGCATCGAACCGACATTTTCACCGTGATTACATAATTATCCGTGATTAGCTAGCTAATAACGAAAATACGTGAAAATGGTGAATAGTTGTATTCCTTTCACACCTAGGAGGAGCTCCGGAACAGCTCCGGGGCGTTACGCGCTTATTCCTTTCGAAAAGTGTTTGTTGCACCGAGTACTCTAGCCCAAAGTAAACCATAAATGCACGAAAGTCAGCGCATCTGTTCCTTTCAAATCGGGGTGACTAACACCGGAGCAAGTAGCTCTAGTATTTCAAACTCTTGAAAGGAATACAGCTACATACTGGAAAGCAGCTTATATCCTATCGGCGGTTCACTCTCGTATTCTCTCCGTTCCAGCGGTCGCACCGGTGCGGCGTGATCCCGACAATCCCGAGCCGTTGATCGAAACGAGTCTGTCGGTGTAGTGTACTCCGTCTCTGACTCCGTGTCCCTACTCCGAGTCCACACTTTTTCCTGTTCAACTGGCCCGCGCGGCGTGATCCGATTAGTTCGGGTTTGAGTCCGAGTCCGTACAACGTAGACAACGCAAAAGTGGTCCGGACTTGAACTCGAACTTGGACCGGACCTGTTTATTTTGCAGTGGATCAGTTCCCACTGTGAAGAACAGTTCCAGTATTTGGCCCTAATAATACGCTTGGTGCATAAGAAAAATATTATGTGATCACGGCTAAAGTTTAATCAGAGAATTTGTGTAATGGTGCATACCAGGCAAATGCAAAATCCTTTGGTACATCGAATCGACTTTTTTAACCGTGATTACATAATTAGCCCTGATTAGCTAATTACGAAAATACCTGAAAATGGTGCATACAGGCATAATTATATCTTAGGGCGGGTATTATAAAACTATTTTGAAAGATAACTAAAAGTTAACTTCTGGAATTACTATGAGAAGTATAGTCACAACGTATAGTCATTCAAGAAGTAAACTTTTAGTTCTTCTGTCAAAATAGTTTCATAATACCCGCCCTCAATCTGAAAACCAGATGCAGCTAGAATACCAAGCCCGCACTACAATGGAAGTTAGGGAGCCTGTACCTACCGTAGCGCAAAGCTTGGGTTGTTATAGGCGAAGAATCTGCTCGGACAGAGCTACGATACACACATCCCCAATCTGTGTTATAATTGTATGGATGCAATTACAAGACTTCAATGTCCAAATGTGTTTCGCAATCGACAAGCATTTGCTTCCCTCAGTTCCTCAGCAGGAATTTTTGGTTTCTTACTTCTTCTGGGTTGTTCTAGTACCATATCAAAAATCTATTTCTCTGTATAAATAAAAAATGCGGAGAACGCTCTTTAATTTTTTTTGTGTTGCGCAAAAGGCGCTTCACGCTCAACGATTACTGGCAGATTGCGCGCCCTTCTGAAGCTTGCGTCCGTGGCAAATGCCACCTTCGCCACGCCGTAGTTACAGCACTGACAATGGTAGAAACAGCATAAAAAGTTACCCACATCCTCAAAATTTCAATTATATTGGATGACGCGTTCCGAAGTTACCTGGGAAAAACGTCGTGGGACACCCTGTATTTTACATGATTTGAGAAAAAAATGTGGATACACTCAGTGCGCACTGATTGACAAATGGAATTCGCGATCACCAAAAATGAGGCCGATAAGCAATCTTGTAGCCTGTAGTGGAGTCAGTGGAGTGTGTACTATCCTTGATCCATTGGTCGTCATGTGAAGTCACTGTAGCATTGCAGATTGCAGTAGTGTAACCTACAGTGTTCACTAGTTGAGTTCGGAATGGGATTTTAGTGCAGCGCTAGTGCGGTGTTCGTGTAGTGCAGTATTATAGCTGTATTCCTTTTACACCTAAAAGGAGCTCCGGAACAGCTCCGGGGCGTTACGCACTTATTCCTTTCGAAAAGTCTTTGTTGCACCACGCATCTCTTCTTTTTCAAATCGGGGTCGACTTAACACCGGAGCAAGTTGCTCGACTGATAAAAACTCTTGAAAGGAGTACAACTAATATCACGTGATGTTGATGAAGGTGTAATCGGCGGTGTAACACCAAATACACCTTAGATCAGATAAGACGCTGTCCTACGGACATAAGGAGTAGGAACGCGCTATTCTGCTATAAAACTAAAAGTGAAGCCAAGTTTTTGGCAGGTGTTTGGCACCTAGATACAGGTTAAGCATTGAATTTCCTATGCCGCCATTTTTTTGGTGCCAAAATACCTGGAAAAAAACGGCTTCATTTTCCAACTCCATGTTACTACACCTCTTTACCTTTACCTGCTCTAAGAAATACACCATCACTTCGTAACGTAACGAGTAAACGGTGTCCCACCATATTTACACCATTTGGGCACCAAATCATTTCCAAACGCAAAAAAAGTGTACACCAAACTTACTAGTTGTATTCCCTTTCACACGTGGGAGGAGCTCCGGAACAGCTCCGGGGCTTCACGCCCTTATTCCTTTCGCAAAGTGTTTGTTGCACCACGCATCTGTTCCCTGCAAATCGGGGGCGACTAAACTAAACACCGGAGCGAGTAGCTCGAGTGTTTCAAGCTCTTGAAAGGAATACAACTACTCCTACCAATTAACGAACGCCATAGTGTCAATAGTGTAAAAAGTGTCGACACTTTCTACCATTCCGAACTCATCTACTATTCACCCTCGTGTTCACTAATCCTTGTCGTTACTCCTTAATGACGTCAGCTAGTGGTCACTCGTCAACCATTTGTTCTTTTCACGTGGCTCCGGTTTAACTAACCGGGTTACAAAACGGTTAGAGAAATGACATACCGTTTTCTAACCCGGTTGGTTACAAAGTGACGTGATGGATATCTACCACTCGAATTTGAGCGGTAAGTTGCGGTTTGTTAAACCGGAGCCACGTGAAAAGGGTTATTTGCGTCAATCCCTGACGAATGACGGCATTCCATTAGAATGACAGATAAGAAAAGAATTTAAAAAATGTGAAATATTTCACTCTTTTCCTTCCAATTTGTATGCCATCTTCTGGAGAATTTGTGTATTTCTGACGTACTGTGTTGGAAAGGTTATTTTATTTTATGATTACTATTAGTGGAATTCGTTCCAATTTGCGTATTGTGATTGTGAAATTCAGGCTGGGCTAAGGACTATACTAATTTATTTATTTTTTGCATTTGGGATCATCAGGGATCAGTGCTTAATGCAATTATCGAATTTGTGTTGCAGTGTGGAGAATCTCTCCGTAAGTATGGCAAGGAAAATAATATTGGGGCTTGGAGTATGTATGTAGGTATTTAAAATCTAAATACGAACATTTCTATGATGATTGAACTTTTTAATTAGCTACTGAAGACTCGGTTGAAGATGTATTTGCCTTGTTGTTTTCCTAAGTATTTATCTAAAACAAGATAATAAGCACTGGGGCCTGGTGCATTAAACTGAACACCTTTCGATAAGAGTAGACTAATAGTAAAATAAATACTTTTTTCAATAAATACTTTTTTTATTTAATTTATTATATTTTTTATGTAACATAATTTCTCAGGATTTAATTGTATGTACAAAAAGTGCAGAGCAAAGCATTCACTTAAATTTTAAGATGTTTTGTAGATTTATTTTCATCCTGATCTGATCAATGATCAATAAGTCCTAGTACACCATGTTTTGTGTCCAAAATTAGTAGATGATAATAAATAAAACAGACCTAGAATGTTTAGAGCCTCAAGATTAATGCTACAATCAACGCTACAATAGTAAGAAGAATGTTTATTAAATTAATAGTCAAAAATTCAATTCACAATTTCAATGGTTTTATTTTGAAAAGCTTAACAATTATTAAAAAAAAGACATCAGAAAAACCAAAAAATTTGTCAACATGTTGAGTGATTAGTCAGCGGGTATGTTGAAAACAGATGAAAATCAGCTCTAGGCCAATCAAAACTGTTCTACCTTGTGTATTCCACTTGTTGGAACAAAGCCGCTTTACCAATCACTCAACATGTTGAGTGCTAGTGAACGCGACCATTGTAAGTTTTAAAGTGTCACCCTGTATACTGCTGCTCCATCAAGTACCTTGATGCATTTTTAATTATTTATTGTACCCTTGATTGTACCTATATAAATATTTCTGATTACTTAGCCTGAATTTTAAAGTTTTAGAGAAACAAATTCATTCTGATTCGGGAGCAAGAAGAAGAAGAAAAAATGTATGCAGTAATATCCGTTCACAATCCGATGTCCACTGGTACCGGTAAAATTTATCACCTTTCAATGCTATTTGATAGGGAAAGGTGATAAATTTACCAGCACCTGTGGACATCATATACAGGGTGTCCCATGGTGGATGGCGTATTAGACGTTAATAGAAAACTAAAAAGCGGATCATTTTGAAAATTTGGCAACCGAGATAAACAACCATAATCTACACTTTAAAAATATTTTTGTTTATGCGGTGTTGCCGCTTCTAGTCTAAACCAGTGGCAACATCGTCATTTTAAATGGAATACCCTGTATATGATTGCATATTTGCATTCTTCGTAAAATTCTGAACAGATTTCATGTGATATACCCTATACCTAAGTTCAACTGTTTTGGAAATATTGACAGTTGAAAATTGACTTTTTTCAACTTTAACGGGCTGTAAAACCTGAACGGTTAATTTTAGACGAAAACCAATTTTACTTTTCCATCTTAGATTTTTATAAACTATCATTTGACACCAACTTTGAAGTTAATTCATGATTAAAAATTCCAATTAAATTTAATCTCCGGTTAAATTAAAAGTTGGTGTCAAATGATAGTTTTTGAAAATCTAAGATAGGAATGTAAAATCGGTTTTCCTCCAAAATTAACCGTTCAGGTTTTACAGCCTGTCAAAGTTGCAAAAAGTCAATTTTCAACTGTCAATATTTCCAAAACAGTTGAACTTAGGTATAGGGTATATCACATGAAATCTGCTCAGAATTTTACGTAGAATCCAAATATACAATCAGATACAGGGTGTTCCATTTAAAATAGCGATGTTGCCACTGGTTTAGAGTAGAAGCGGCAACACCTCATAAACTAAAATATGTTTAAAGTGTAGATTATGGTCGTTTATCCCGGTTGCCAAATTTTCAAAATGATCCGCTTTTTAGTTTTCCATAAACGCCATCCACCGTGGGACACCCTGTATATAGGATATACCTACCCCCGTACCTACCTACATTTTTAATAAAATATTATCCTTGAAAATATCTTAAAAAAATTGCTGATTCATATTTTTTCCCAAAAACAATTTTCAAATCCAACACACTATATAAAACTATAGACTAAGCTTTTTTAGTGCTTTTCAGTTATCGCAGTTGTCAGGAATTTTTCCAGGGATGCATTAATCACTCAATTGGCTTATAATAATTTAATGATAAAGAAAATATTTTAAATATTTATTTAGATAACAAAGTAACTGGTGGGGTTTAGGATACATTTTTACTCGCATTTTTATTTTTATAAGTGTATTTTGAAGATTAAAAGAATAGATAGCTACACTGACACTTATTTTATACGTTGTTTTGTGATAAACAACATCTTTTGGAATGCCAGTTGAAAATATTTATGTTGTATGTACTATGTACAGGGTGGCCCATTCTCGATGTTTTAATGAGCTATATCGAAAAACAGCAGAGATATCTAAAATCTGGGAGCACATTCTCGAGCTCTTTTTTTGGGAAAATAACAATGGCAAAGACAAATCACGGCTAACTTGATGCGTTTAGGAAATACAGGGCACTTTTCAAATTTTGTCCAATTTTAAAAGACTCTCTAATTTCCTTATTATTCAAGATATCAAAAACGAAAAATACTTTTTAGAGGCAGTTTTTTAAAGAGACTCCAGTGGCATGACCAATTTTTTTCCAGATGCCACCGATTTTGGAATATTGACCAAAGTTGTGTTTTTTTAAATGGGACACCCTGTATATAATTTGTTCATTGAATAGCTCTTCGTGAGCTGATTTCAATGATAAAGGTTTTATATACCTTTACCTTCAATAGTTTAGGAGAAAAAAAATAAATTCCGTTTTTTCCATAAGAACGAGCATAAGAAACGATGAGTTAGAAAGAGATAGTTGAACTATGAATCGGCCACAATTTTCTTAATTCTTATTTTAATTTTTCAGTTCAGCTAATTTTTTTAAAATTTGAACTATGAATAAATAGGCAACACATAATTTTTTCAATGACTTATCTCTCTCTAGCTCATTATTTCTCATGGAAAAACAGAAATAATTTTTTTATTTCCTACTGAACTATTATAACCATATAATACCTTGGTTACGATAATCATAAACAGGGTCTTAACTCCCAAGGGAGTTAAGGATTTCATAACTCCCGCGCGGGAGTTAGGGATATCATAACTCCCAAGGGAGTTAAGGATTTCCATGGCTCCCGCTTTTACCTTGAATAGGTGAAACTTTGACAAAAAATAGAAATTTTGGTTTATGGTTTATTTCTTTATAAAAATGGACAAAATACAGTAAATTCAGTAGGAAAGTAGGAAATAAAATTATCTATGAACCACGGGAATTATCAGGTGTTAATACCCACAGGCAGTTAGTGTCCCTCGGGCCGGAGGCCCTCGTGACACAAGCATTGCCCTGGGGTATTAACACCCTCATAATTCCCTTGATACATAAATAACTATTTTCTCCGAAACTATAAAAGGTAAAGGTATAAAACCTTATATCATTGAAAACAGCTCACAAAGAGCTATTCAATAAAAAATATAATATACAGGGTGTCCCATTTAAAAAAACACAACTTTGGTCAATATTCCAAAATTGGAGGCATCTAGGTTATCCCACTGGATTCTCCTTGAAATAGAAAGTATTTTTCGTTTTTCGATATCTTGATTAATAAAGAAATTAGAAGGTCTTCTAAAATTGTGCAAAATTTGAAAGGTGTCCTGTATTTCCTAAACGCATCAAGTGCGCCGTGATTTGTCTTCGCCATTGTTATTTTCTCAAAAAAAAAGCTCAAGAATGTGCTCAAGGATTTTTGATATCTCTGCTGGTTTTCGATATAGCCTATTAAAACATCGAAAATGGGCCACCCTGTACAGGGTGCTGCAATTTGGAGTGTTTTAACAAGAAAAACATACTTCCAGACCAGATAGAGGAAAATTGACTTAGGTGTCATGGGATTAATTTTCGAGAAACGTCGATTGCCAAAAACCGTATCACGATATCTTCAATGGTACCACTGATACAGGGCGATTTTCGATTTTCCCCTATTATGAAAAATAGCTATAAGTTTTTTATTTATCAATTTTTTTTATTTCTGTAAAAACATTATGGAGACACTTTTTTGAGCACAATCCAGTGGCGGACTCAGTTTTTTTCTATATCGCTCCAATTTCGAGATATCGACCAAAGTCTGATATTTTCAAATGAAATACCCTATATATTAATAGATCATTGCATAGCTTTGTTTTCGCTGATTTCAATGATATAAAGTTCGATAGGTTTATCCGAGGGTTTATCTCTAACAGTTTTCGAGAAAAAAAATTATATCTGTTTTTGTCATAAGAAACAATGCGTTAGAAAGAGACCTTCCTCATTTTCCTTACACATATAAAATCCTTTTCTAACACATTGATCCTTACGACAAAAACAGATATAATTTTGTTTCTCGAAAACTGTTAGAGATAAACCTATCGAACTTTATATCATTGAAATCAGCAAAAACAAAGCTATCCAATGAGCTTTTAATATATAGGGTATTTCATTTGAAAATATCGGACTTTGGTCGATATCTCGAAATCGGAGCGATATAGAAAAAAACTGAGTCCGCCACTGGATTGTGGTCAAAAAAGTGTCTCCATAATGTTTTTACAGAAATAAAAAAAATTGATAAATGAAAAACTTATAGCTATTTTTCATGATAGGGGAAAATCGAAAATCGCCCTGTATCGATGGTACCATTGAAGATATCGTGATACGGTTTTTGGCAATCGACGTTTCTCGAAAATTAATCCCATGACACCCAAGTCAATTTTCCTCTATCTGGTCTGGAAGTATGTTTTTCTTGTTAAAACACTCCAAATTGCAGCACCCTGTACAGGGAATGCTCCCTATAATTAGTGCGGCTTCTACAGCTTAAACCAAAAATAATTTTAAAAAAAAGTTATATACAAAAGTTGTAGGGTTTTATCAATAGTAATATAACGAGTGCAATGGAAATTATTGATAATTTTTGGGAAATTTG